CCCTCCCTGGTTTTTTTTTTTTTTTTTTTTTTTTTTTGGTTTTTCGAGACAGGGTTTCTCTGTGGCTTTGGAGCCTGTCCTGGAACTAGCTCTGTAGACCAGGCTGGCCTTGAACTCACAGAGATCCCGCCCTGCCTCTGCCTCCCGAGTGCTGGGATTAATGCTCCACCACAGCTCGGCCCCTCCCTGGTTTTTCAATACAGTGTTTCTCTGTGTAACAGCCATAGCTGTCCTGGAACTCTTCTGTAGACTAGGCTGGTCTCGAACTCAGAGATCCACTTGCCTCTGCCTCCCAAGGGCTGGGTTTAAAGGCGTGCACCACCACTGCCCAGCATGATCATGTTTCTAATGATGTTTCTTCATTGGCAAGATGGAAATGGGATACCCATGTGTGGCTCAGAATTAGTGAAAAGTCGGTTGTCATAGAAACTACTACTCATTTGTTAGTTGTAAGTGGGAATAAAAGGGCGTCTTCCCTGGCTGTGAGCCCAAGCTCTTTCTCTAGCTGGACGGGCCAGAACTCAGTTTTCTTTGGAGATCCTCTGGCATTCAGGAGACACTGGCCTCCTTGCCGTCATGAAGTGTCTGTGGAACTTAGCCATACCGCAGTTTATACGGGGCCTGGGAGCTCCCGAGAAAGAGCCTACCTGATCTCCTCTCAGCTAGACTTGGACGCTACCTGGATGCAGATGCTCCAGGTAAGAAAATGGAGTAGGCAAAGGAGCCTAAGGGAAAACTCTGCACAAGGATATGCGAGCAAGCTCTGGCCAAGACAAACTACGTGACTGTGACTCTGACTAGCAAGGACACAGCAAAGTTAGTTCTAGGCAGGTGGGAGGCTGCACTTCGCCACCACCTCCCCCAGCTACACCAACAGCCCTGGTGCTGTAGGGAGAAGGCAGCTGCAGTTCAATGGGGGTCACCAGGGACTAGGAGAACATGCTTTGAAAAAGCAGATTCCAGCCGGGCAGTGGTAGCGCACACCTTTAATCCCAGCACTCAGGAGATAGAGGCAGGCAGATCTCTGTGAGTACAGGTTCAGCCTGGTCTACAAGAGCTAGCTTCCAGGACAGGCTCCAAAGCTACAGAGAAACCCGGTCTAAAAAAAAAAATAATAAGAAGAAGCACATTCCAAAAATGAAACCAAGGCCTGAGGGGGTCAGTGGGGGAAGGCAGAGTTATCCATCGAGAGATTGGCAGCAGCATGAATATCAGGCAAGGGAGCAATCAACAATACAAAAGAAATAGGAAAAAATAGCTAATACTTTACAACACTTCCCATGTGTTAGGCACTTTAACACATTCAATTTGGGGGGGGGGGGAGGTTCGAGACAGGCTTTCTCTGTAGCTTTGGAGACTGTCCTGGAACTCATTCTATAGATCAGGCTGGCCTAGAACTCAGGGATCTGCCTGCCTCTGCCTCCCAGTGCTAGGCGAAGCACAATTAATAAAAACTCAGAGAGAGAAACTGGGGTTCAACATGAAGACCTGAAAAGCAAAGCAGCCAGCCACTGGCTCTTACCTCGACCTGTCTGAAAATGGCGATCCTGCCTCCAGGAATCTCAGAATGAGACTGTGTCTGAGAGCTGTCTCCTCCCATTTTATACTCCTCTCTAGGGCTGGGATTAAAGGCGTGCACTGCCCGACTTCTGTGGCAACTAGTGTGGCTACTGGGATTAGGTGTGTGTTACCATAACCTGGTCTGTAAGGCTGACCAGTAGGGCTGTTTTACTACTCTGTGATCTTCAGACAAGGTTTATTAAAATACAAATAAAATGCCACTAGAGCTGGGATTAAAGGTGTGCACCACCACCACCTGGCTCTCATTCAATTCTTAATAGAACTTCACAAGCAAAGAAATACTAAATTCCCTTTACAGATTAAGAACTGAATGAACTAACGCCCAAAACCAGAAACAGAGGATTTGAACCCAAGCTCTAAAGCCAAATCTGCCTCCCCCATATTCATTCTTTGTTTTGTATTTTTTTTTTTTTTTTGAGACAGGGTTCCTCTGTGTTGCTTTGGAGCCTGTCCTGGAACTAGCTCTTGTAGACCAGGCTGGCCTCGAATTCACAGTGATCTGCCTGCCTCTGCCTCCCAAGTGCTGGGATTAAAGCATCAGCCACCACCACCACCTGGCGCCCATATTCATTCCTTAAAAGGGAACATGACTTACAAACTAGAGAAGAACTACAGATAAAACCTCCATGGGAATCTTGAGGAATATTTGTAAAGAGGAATTAGGGAAAATCTTGGATTTCCTGCTGGCTAAACAGATGATATATAACAAAAGCAATATATACATCAGCAAATAAAGTTCAAAATATAGCATAATGCCAATAATATTATTGCTGACAAAGAGTCACTTTCATTTAAAAACTATATATTGATACAATATAATCTCTAAGATATATTTATAAGACAGGTATAAAACTACATAAAGAAAACTGTAAAAAGGACTTTTAAACATGGGAGAAATAGTTTTACATAAATGTAATTCCTGTCCATGTATACATCACTGGAAAGGTTCAGACAAATCAGTAGGCTTTTGACTCCTGAACAATTCTGGGAGAGGAACTAAGGAGTAGGGGTGAGAGGCTACCTGAACTTAAAACTAGAAACATTTTGGATAAGCAAGTAGTACAGAGAACAAAAAATAAAAAAGACCTACCCACCCAGTATGAAGGCAAGAAGTAATCATTACACACATGACGGAAACCCCTTGGCACGTCCTCATCTTACCCCTACCTATCTTGCCTCCAGAGGTAAGCACCAACTTGAACTTAGTGCTTTTGACTCTCATACGTCACCACATTCTTCCTGGGCAGGACAGTATCCCTGGTCAAAGGATACTACTTTATACAAACAATTACATGTCAGGAATTCCACAGCTTTTATTCTTTTAACTCTATATATCATATTACCTTTTAAAAAAGATGTTATTTCTTTCAAATTATGTGTCTATGTGTTTGCGTGTGGATACTGGACATGAGTGCAGATGCTCTTGGAAGTTTGGATCCCCCAGGAGCTGGGAGTCACTCCATGTCGGTGCTAGGACTGAAACTTGGGTCCTCTGCAAGAGCAGTACAAGCAATCTCTTTCTGTGTGTGTCTCTTAGAATTATTTTATGTGTATGTGTTTTGCCTGCATGTATGTCTGTACATCACATGTAGTGCCAAAAAGATCAGAAGAGGTGCTGCATTCTCTGGAACTGGAGTTTTAAGTTATCCTGTGGATGCTGGGAACTGAGCCCAAATCCTCTGCCAAAGTAACAAGTGCTCTTAACTGCTGAGCCAACTTTCCAGACTCCTCATTTATTGCCTTTATTCCCTGTTTATTTAATAATCTCTCAACTCATCTTCTAATAAAACAAAACTCTAACCCTCTATCACCCCACATTTTAAAATTATTATGGAACTAGAGAGATGGCTCAGCAGTTAACAGTGCTTCCTGCTCAATCAATAAGATTGGATTTCAGATCCCAGCACTGATATAACAAACCAGATGTCCCACAAAAGGACTTAACTGCAGCTTTTGACCTCCACATCTAAAGATGTCATGTGCCCATTCATGTATACACATATGCAACGCTAAATAAATTACAAGAATATTTTAATATGTATTTATTGTGTGTATTGGGTACAAGCATGCCATACACATGTGAAAGTAATATGACAGTCTGCAGAAGTGTCATGGTTCTTTAGTTCCACTATGTAGGTCCAGGGGTTCAAACTCAGCTTGTCAGACTTGTCAGTAAGCATCCTTACTGCTAAGTCATCTCACTTCAAAGTTCACTATTATTATTATTACTCTATTTTCAGGGGGCATGAGTATCAGGGGTGTCTATGTGAAGGTCAGAGCACAGTGCTGTGGAATTAGCTCTCTACTATGTGGGAGAAGTTCTAGGGCTCAAACTCAAGCCACCAGACTTCTACAGCAAGTGCCTTTATATGCTGAGCCATCCTGCTGGTCTTTCCCCATGTCATAGACAAAACAAAACAAAACAAAAACCCAAAACTTTCAGCATCACTGAAATAATTAAATAGAAGCCACAGAAATTTGAGCCTATCCTCTAAAATAAAACCAAAACTGTTGGGGCTAGAGAGATGGCTCAGCAGTTAAGAGCACTGACTGCTCTTCAAGAGGACCCGGGTTCGATTCCCAGCACCTATATGGCAGCTCACAACTGTCTATAACTCCAGGATCCAGCACCTCACACATTTATACATGTAGGCTAAAACAGCAATAAAAAAGCAAAAAAAAAAAAAAAAACCCTGCAAACTGTGGGTATTATTCTAAGGGGTTATTGACCAAAGTACTACTTACAATCGCACATTTGGTTCTAAAATATCACCAATTTACATGGAGATTTTTTTTAAAGGCCTATATTT